ACGCAGGTGAGATAACCAGTGTTGACACAGGAACACACTCGGTTACAACAGTGGCGACGCAGGTGACATAACCAGTGTTGACACAGGAACACACTCGGTTACAACACCCACTATTCAGTCTCGCAACCATGTCAGGGAAGAAAACGGCATCCTTACGCAACGTGCGAAATTCGCCTACTGGCCTGTATTCAAATGTAAAGTCTGTCCGGTCAGGAAATTGAAGGAAGACTGCTTGACGATGACAAGGATGCCTGAAGCGACCGTATTCGTTTTCGTCCCCACTGACGACAAACCCCTCGCTTAGTTACTACCGACAAATATGTGAGCGTCGGGCTGTGAGACTGTCGCCATGCCGGGAACCGAAGTATCAAGGCTTAGAAATAGGAAAGAGGGGCTGGACCTCTTTTTATCTTTCACTTGAGAAACTGCCACCGCCAAAAAATGTGACGATATGTATCGCTACCCTGATAACTGGCAGATCCGGTCATGTTTGACTACCAACTGATTACCAAGAGATGGACTAGCTTGCAGGGTCCGTGCGTCAATGTCACGACCATAGCTATTATAAATAAACCCCACAACACTGAAAAAAGTCAATGACAGTCAATGAGTGTTTTGCGAAAATATTAGATCAAGTAAGGAAGCGCACAAAGTCATATGAATTTCGCATCGCCTGTCCATGACCAAATTAAAAACAGGGGTCACGGGTTACAAAATTAGACCATGGTGCGGCGCCTGGACGTTCGTAGGCGGACTGAAGAGAAGTGACAGTGCAGGGCCTAGCGGAGGAAAACTAAGAATAGATGGAGCTGATGAGACGGTTGGAGGGGGATGCAGAAGAGTATGACATTGGTGGAGACTGTTTTTGAATGGTGGGAGGGGGAAAGCGTCTTAGACTGCAGTCGGGCGGGGACAGTTGTCACACTGTGCTGGGAACAGCGGCACAAGCGGCAGGACGGTACGTAGGTTGAGAGGGGGTGCGCGCTTGGTACGTTCTGTTGAAGCAGTCGAATACTCATCGTCCTCCGGTGGGGTTTTGACAGCCTCAGCAAAACCCAGTCTCCTGTTTCCACTGTCAAAGATGGTGTAGTACTTGCCAAGGAATATATCACCCAGGATCCAGAGCTCGCGGCCTGGGATGTCCAAACCCATGAAGCCAAGGAGGCAGATGTCGTGACCAAACTGGGTGACCTATAAAACAGACAATATTTTTTATACTTCTGCAAACCACTGGACGAAAACGAGGTGCAGAGGACAGGTTTTAGGCAACTGAGCCAAAAAGCCGGCATAACAACAAGCAACGGACAAATAATTACCTGCGATGAACGCGGAAGCCGATAATATTAACAGGCGCGCAGGCGTATCGCAACGGCATATTGCAACTCCAGGGGACTCAGACCATTATCGCACCAAGTGCAACTATCCGCGATGCATTCGGGAGCCGTCAATTGTGATAGTCATGTTGTGACCTAGCAACTACATCCTATAAATACTGCAAAGCCCGTGCAATTCACTGCCCCTATCTGACTTCGTATCTGCTTATAATTTTGGGTGGTGATCCGAAAAGTTAGGCTAATAAAGCTCTTTGCCCAGCGATCATGTCACCTTCGCAACTGCTTCGTGCAAATCAATAAAAATTAGCCCTGTAGAGACTACATAACCAATCTGCGAGCTTACATCGTTTAAAAGAATGATCACAAGTATTTTGCAAAGTTATCAACAGTATAACCTCTAAACATAAGAGTTAACTCAGTTTATAAACGACGACTATGACAGGCATCCTATTAGTCTGGCCTTCTCTATAATGGGCTGCTTGCAGAAAATTTCAAACAGGATATTTTTGATAACCGTTGCTTGAGAATTAATCGCGAAGGAAGACCGACTTCGTTTCTAGTAAAACAGTTCACGCCCGTTGCTACAACAACATAATGACATCTCAGGTCGTCCAAGAAAGACGGTTACCCTAAACACATGCATGTGCACAGTTCTACAGGGTACAAGTTCGCGTCAGAAATTTTGAAACTAGATAGTCATCAGATCGTGAACCGACTGGCTCGGACGGTGGCTGGAGCCTGGGAATGGGGATAGAACTTGAGCTCGACTATAAACAATTTTACGTGCTTGAAGCTATCACGGTGCATTAAAAGCCGTGGCTTGGAAGATTGCCAACTGATGGGATATCTCGGACCGCGTGGTTAGCCCAGTGTTTGTTTGTGTGGAGTGACGGACCGAATGTCAGGCTACAATGGCTCCTTCTTAAGGTGGCCTTTATGTTATGTGACGGCACGTTTAGGGTCGTCTGCGACTACATGAACCACTTGCGCCCTCTCTCGCCTCCAGTCATTTTTGACTTGGTTATGACACCAGACCCATGTGGGGGAAGAGTGTGTTAAATGCAAGGCAAGTATACTACCACTTAAAACTAATCCACGCGTAAATCACCGCGTTTGCCTTCAGCTTGCTGAAGCACGCGGTGGACTTCGTCAACGTTGATGGTCGAACGGTCACGTTGTCAGTCAATCAAGCAGGCCATGCCAAGTTTTACAAATGTCTGCTATTTAGTTTACATGACCCGGCTAACCACGAACGAATTAGGACCAAATATCTTATCAGACAAGCGAGCGCATTCGAAGGGGTTGCGACCTTCGGTAAAGAATAACTACAAAAATGAAAGGTATTGCTTCCTCCCCATTGTGTTCCTCCTACGGTGCATTTAACAACCAGTAGCATAAACAAAAAAGACCTCAAACCTGACTAACTGATGATAACAGTTAGGCCGCAAATTGGTTTTCATCAGGCCAAACCTCTCCGATGACGGCGAACGGGCAAATTACCTTAAAAAATTAGGTGAAAGGGTACTTTAGAGACCTCGAGTACCAAACTCTGTAGGAGTTCAAACCGAGCTGCTGGTAACGACAGAAAATGAAACAATGGACCCACCTTTATCACATATTCTTGACCTGCCAGAACAAAATCTCTGCCCTCGAAAGTTATTGTTACGTTGGGCAGAGTGGGGACTGAGTCACAGTAGACGAGGAATGTGCCGCCTGGCAGGGCCTTGGCATTAACCGCGACTGCGATCTTTCTTACACCCGCGTAAGGGCCAACAATGAGTGAGGTGCCGGTGTCAGCGATTGCGTTGCAACTGTCAGCACAAATGTCTATTCCTGCTATGGAGATCCTATAGACAAGGGCAAGAAAGGTGTCTAGAGTGAGTGTGAATGCGTGGATGTGGGTGTTAAATTTGTTGCCTTTCAGCAAGCCATTCGGATAACTATGGATTCTCAGCAAGGATGACGAGTGGGTTTATGGCGATGTATTGACTGGTAAACACTGCGAACCAACCGGCAAGTAACATAATTAGTCAATGTGTGCCGAAAGAGCGTACAGCTCGTTGGCTGGCTGAAATATAATCAGTAAGGACAATGCTTGTAAACAAAAACAGTGAAGGTAACAATACACAGCGCTAATTTCGAGTTTTTACACCGTTTGATGAATGTCTGAAAACGTAAATAATGAGAAGTGGAACGGACGAAGTTTACTATATGTTTTAGCATAGGGAAGGATTTGATTTCAACAGAAATATGCAGGTAGGTATTCTAGTTCTGACTAACCGTTACACATTTATGTCTCCCTTAGATATTATCTTGATGGAACACTAGTGCATCTTATTATTTAAAGAAGTCTCTAAATATCAAAGCCTAGTCATAAAAGATGAACAGTCCAAGGCAAGGGTTAAACGAATGACCACTTCTAACTTATTAATCATGATCAGTAAACGGAACACCAAGGCTTAACTACTGGGCAGTTAAATGCGTTATCGCTTTCAGCAAGAACAACTGAAGAAGGTAGTTCGTTCCAGTCTTCAATGACCAGGTGGACAAAAAAGTTGGCCCGCACTTCTATTTTGCATGGTTTTTGCAGTTTGTATGGATGACCTTGGAGATGCGTCGTATCTGCCAATTCAAAAAAATCAGCCAGACAGAACATAAAACAGGAAACGATTGCAAAGGCCTCTTATAAAAAATTACAAGATCTTACTCCCAGTCAGTCGAGGTCCCTCTGTAGATTAAAAGGTGGAAATTGGAAGTGATATAAACGATTGTCATTGGTTGCGCGACTAAACCTCCCCCTTCTTGGAGCCTACATTTGTAACAGTGCTGGTAACCGATTCAGCCAACTTCCTGTTGCAATTAATACATATTGAATCGTCCACTTGTTTGTACCGTACTTACGTTTCATCTAGTCCACCTACGTCATGTCGGTAAGTGTATCCCTACATGTGGGATTACCCGTGGCAGTGGATCGGGAAAGTTCGATCTATTGGTTTCTACAACTAAGAAGACCGAAGGTCGGCAAATTACCCCATGTCTTGCTATGACAGTGTCAAGCAAAACTGTGATTCGACCTCCACCCTCTCGGCGCATTGAGGTGGACGGTTGCCACACCAGAACAAAAACAGCCATACTGACAACTAAAAACGCGCCTCATCCCATATGCGTCGTCTTTCTTGGATGACCTGAAATTTCTTCGCGAAGTGGTCGCTGCGTGTAAGAGTGGACTAGTCCCACCCATAGCCAGTGTACTTCACTCGAAAAATGGTTCTCAAATAATGGCGATCAAACACTTCTAGCCTTCTTTGAAGATTGTGTAAACAGCAAAATTTATTGGATCCATTAATTTTGAGAGTGATCATCAGTTGCTTCCTCCACGGTCTCCACGCACACAGCCCAAAGCCAGATGCATAGAAATTCCTCGGATGAATGCCCAGTTCAG